TCATTCTGGAGGTCCGTTCTTAACCTGAAACTGTTCTTAACCTGAGGTATCACTTTAGCTAATGGGGCCTCCTACTGCTGCCGCACAATTTCTGTTCTCATCCTGAGGCAAAGTTTTTAACCTGAGGTACTATTTCTGGGTTAGCGGAGTCTGTAACCTGAAGCGTCTGTAACCTGAAGCGTCTGTAACCTGAGGTACCACTGTACCTTTAAATCAGTGGTTTTCAACCAGTGTGCCGTGGCACCCTGGGGTGTCTTGAATGATGGTCTGGGGTGCCGTGGGCAACGCTGACCTGTCCCTCTTTCCTTCCCTCCCTTCTCTGATGCCCTCTTGTCTCTCTGTCTCCCAAAGGCTTGCACAGCTGTTATTTGCAGCAGCCCTGGCCATAAGCTCTGCAGGCAAATGGTGCTTCTAGAAGGCACCTCTCTCTGGAGCGGGTGGGGCGGGGTGGGCAGTTCAGAAACCAGGGACAGTAGCAAGGAGAGGGGAGAGGAGAGGAGGCTGAGGGCACACTCCACAAGGGAGGGTGTTCGAAAGAGGGTGAGAGGCTGCCAACTCTGTAGGCAAGGGGTGACTTTCCTGCAGAAAGAATGTAGTTGGTTAAGGGAGTTGCGGACTCAAAAAGGTTGAAACCTTTGTTTTAAATAATTGTTATGATAAATGGATGGGGGAATATGATGCAGTCAAGTGATGGTATGATGAAACACTCGCATGTAGCTGTGTGGGGTGCGGGGGGGGGGGGAGAAGGACAGCTGTAATGACACAAACATTAAACAGACATTGATGCTTCAGGAAGCTCAAGGTATTAAGTCACACACACTCACCCTTAAGAGAATGAATGCACTGAACATCTTACTATATGTTCATTCCATTGCTGAAGCTAATCACCCCCCTCCTCCCCCATTAATTTCTCTGGTTCTTTTCTTTTTTCTTTTTTAATAAGAAGAAAGGTCTTGTCTGTTTTTAAAACTGGTATCCTTTAGTTTCTGTTAGCTCCCTTTGTTTAAGCGCCTTACATTACTGGCTGTCTGGCTTATATCTAAAGCCAGGCATGGCAATATGGCTTGCGTACATGTTAATTATACACAGGTATAATTAATGAATGCATGGGGGATAATTTGTGGAGGGGACTTCTCTCTCTCTCTCTCTCTTCTAAAGGAAGTCCTGGGCCAGCAGCTCACTTTTCAGAATGTTGCTTATTCTGTTCTAACCGAGTCTTTAAGGGGAAGTGTGATGCAGTGGCTAGAGTGTCAGACTAGGACCCTGGAGGCCTGGGTTTAGATCCCCACAGATCCCATTGTGCCAGTCTGTGGGCTTTCATATTGATAAAAGGGGGAGGGGAGCTATGTGTGCTGCTCTGAGTTCCTTAAAGGAAAGGAAAGATAAAAATGGAATTAATGAATTATAATTGGCCCCAGAAAATTTTACAATATCTTAACAAGATATTGACAACCCTGTACAGTTATAGGAAGCTTTTATAAACATCCTCAAACATGATATGCAATTTAGCCTATTTTTTCTCTTCATAATAATAGGGTTGCAGCCTGGGATTCCTCTCCCAGGAAAGTGCACTTTTCCCCTATCCCACCTGTGCTTGACCCCAGTTAATACCACTGTCTTCAATAAGTATGAAACCTTTTTATTTAAAAACATCTTTACACATCTTACTGTTGCAACTTCCAGCAGTAATCAATTCCACAGGTCAATTGTGCATTGTGGAAAGCAGAGGGGAAATCTTTTTAGTTGGTTAAGAAAACTGCTGTGTATAATTTTCTCTTTGTCCTACAGTTCTAATACTTACTGATGGGTTTGTGCATGTCAACACATGATTTCCTGGGGACAATTCATTTATGTTTATCATGCAATAAATACAACTATCATGTTGCACGATATTTGCTTGCAATAACTTGCAAGGGTCACAAAGAGCTTTGTTTAAAGATGAGTGCAGTGTTTGTCAGAAGTGAGAAGTAGCTTCAATGCTAATTTCATTGCTTGAGATGAAAATTAACCATTGTGTGAACTGGTCATTTTGCTCCTTGTTCACTCAGCATAGGTAATAAGTGAGAGCAAGTGCATCTGATGGTGCCACATATGCTTAAAACTTGCATTCTGAGAGCAGACTCTCCTCAATCTAACCTTCTAGGTTAGAGGTGAAAGCAATATTGTACACAGGTAGAATTCAGCCTCCACTTAGCATACCTGTTCCTCTCAGGTTAGGCCTGTTCAGGACCTGTTCAGGTTAGACCTGTTCAGGTTAGACCAACCTGAAAATCCCATGGTACCCCTAGTTGTACTGTTTGAACTACTGCATTGAATGTCAGCATCAGACTGTGTGAGCCTGTAAAATAGGCAGCAGAGCTCTGTTCAGAGCCCGGTGGGAACTGCCTTTTAAATTTCCTACAAAGCTCCTGCTATGGGTGTCACTCAAAGGCATTGTGAGAATCAGTGGCTCCCAGATTAAATTGCTCAGTGCAAAGGGCCTGAGTGGGCAGGAGCAAGCCCTCCCAGGGTTGGGACCCCTACATTGCCCGGGGTGCTGATGCTGGGTCTGGTAGCAGCTATGGAAACCACACACACATACATACAGATCACTTGGTTTCCACAGTAAACCTAAACCTATGAATTGGCCATTTAACTCTGCTTACACACAAACAACATGAGGTGTCGAATGAGTACATCCACTGACTCTGCCTCCAACATTCAATAGAGCCTGCCTTTGTACAAACTAAACACACATTGGCTTTTCTGCGCAGTTGAGGATCCTGCTTTTTGAAAGGTCTCAGATCTGGGGCTCCCAAAGCACAGTCCATGGACCAACTGTGGTCCATGAGCTTTATACAGGTGGCCCACAGCAGCGATTCTGGAGGGCGGCAGAGCTATGTTTGAGTGACGAATATTGTGGACACACACAGCTGCTGCTCCATCATTCTTAGACACCAACCTTTTTAGGCCCAAGTGATGGAGCAGGGAGGATGCTCTGCTGTACTCAAAAGAATAAAGTCATGGCAGCAATATCCCAAGCAGAGAAAGAGGCTGACAAGGCACTTGGAAAGGAGTGGAGAGTTGCTTCATGGAAGCGAAGGAGGCAGCGAGAAGGAAAAGAAAGAGAGTGAGGGGGAGGGAATCATTAAGTGATCTGGCAACACCTTCAGCGATTTTCAAGTGAGAGAAAAACTTTGGGAACTACTGTCCCAGACTGCACACACAGGGCCTACATTCATACAATCTGTATGCACATAGGATCTGTTCACAAGGTCTGTTGAATGTGTATAGATTGGATGATATCCTATCACTCTGCAGGCATTCATTGTAAACCCCATATCATGTGAACAGGGGGGGCAGGCATACTGTTCCCTGTAGAATGGCACATTGCTCATGTACATTTCATTTAGCGCACTGCAGCAGTGACCATCAGATCCAAGTTTATATGAGTCCTCCAACCCTGTGATCTGCTCACATAGTGCATGTGGTGTTTATGTGTCAGCTGTTCTGAGACTAGTTTATAAATTGATTAATTGCTTCCAGAACCGAAAACAATCCATTTCCAAGAATCAAAAGGAGCCCATACGAATCCTATAAAGAGACCATTCTGTTCATCTCTTGTTTGTTGAAAATCCTGGTTTGGCAAAGGACTACCCACCAGCTCTTCTGAATGAGCATATCATTTTATTCCTGGGGGAAGCACCCAGAAACCAGAGTTTCATCTAAGGATCTCAGCTGTGAAGGACAAAACAGATGTGTACACATCCTCAGGAGCTGCTCCCTCAGGACTTTTGATGAGACCTGAAAAGACCTTTGAAAACACAGTGGGAAAGTGGATTTGTCCACTAGCACTTCAGGAAACACAATGCTTTCCACCCTGCCCTGCTTTTGATTTTGTTAGAAAGCAAAGGACAGTAACAAATATAACAACACAAATGAGATCACAGATGAATCTGTACATAAGGCTTGAGAGAAGCTGCTGCATAGAAGTCAGGCCTCCAACTGTGCTTTAAAGTGAGATTCTCCAAGATCTGCTTTATTTTCAGGAGTGAGAATTGTGGTTCTTATTCAAAGGTCAATCTTGTTATATTGCTGTACACCAGGGATGGGGAACATTTTTCAGCCAAGGGCCCCACATTCATTTGTGGTTAACCTTTTGGGGACAGCATGCCTGTGGTCGGTGTGCTCAAACACACACCACTGTCCATCCAGGCAAGTAAGAGTTGTAACCACAGTTACAGGACACATTTCAGCCAGATGAAATCACTAAAGGAAGATACAGAGCAGGGCCAGTGAGGGTTGGGACCTGGGCAGAGCCCTGAGGATTCAGCGGGTTGTAGGGATATGCATCCCTACTATATACCATTGTAACCTATCCGCACTGTCTTCAGTATGGAAGAGTTGATCATGACAGTGTATTTGCATAAGAGGCTTCAATTGTCAAGGCATTCAGCTCATATGGCGAATAGTGTCTTATACAATGCCACTGCAGTTGATCTGGAGGGCAAGAGCTGATCCAAACTGAGGAAGCAGACCAAACAGAAGTACAGATCAAGGCTAAGAAGACAACTTGGAGTCTGTAAGGTAAGGAACAAAGGAATGGTGGGCAGGGTAGAGAACAAGCATGTGGAGAGCATCTGGAACAGAAGAAATAGGATGGGTTCTCATCCCAAGAAGGGGTCTCATAGCTTCGTCTTTTCTCCAGAGTGTGTGCTGTGCCATCAAATTGTCTAGATGAAGCCCTGGTCTCTGATCAAACTAGTCAAAATATCATTCATGCAATTAGCAGTTGCATAACTGGTTTTTTAAAAGTAAACTGAAGTATGGGGGCAATCTGGATTGGGACCCTGATGTGGAGGGGTTGGGGGTTTTTTTGGTGCTTCCCCCACCATATTCTATTCTCAACTAAGGTTCTTGTATCTGCTATCTGCATTGAGGATAAAGCCTCTTGTTTCCCCAAGGGGGAGCTTACATGCGTGTTGAGATGTGCGAGGTCAAAGAAGCTATATTCTCCAAAGGTGATCAAAGTACCATTTAATGCCCATTTGCTCTAGGATCAGCTAAAAAAACCAAAACCCCTCTTTCCACTTGCTTGTTGTCCTCTTCACCTAACAAAAGAAGGGGTCAAATGATTAAATACATAAATCTTCCCCACCCAAAATTAACTGATATCCAAACTGTCCATAGAAGATTTTCAGCACAAAGGTTCAGTACTGGCTATCTCAGAGGTCTGCAGTAGATGAGGAGGCAAATGTTCAAAATGGAATAGATGTACATTTCTCTTCCCTTTGACAGCTCCCTCATGCATGTGCCATCAGTAATAGTCATATGAGTCATCGTCACTCTCCATGTCATCGTCTGGCCCTAGTCTGGGCATCTTGGGCAGGGACAATTCAGTCATGTTCAGCTGATCTGCAAGTACAGGGCACAAAGCAAATAATTAGTCCTTGTACAGTGTTTGTATTCTTTGCTATTTATCCTTCACCACTGTGGGGATATTTGGATGTTGTCCATTTTACAAGCAGCCAAGATCAGGGCTGGCCCAAGTCTCAGTTCTGCTGCCTGAGGTGAAGGACAAGATGTCACCACTACCCCATTCCATGGGCAGAAACTTACCAGATTGACAGCTGAATCTTACTCACCCTTAGGGAACTCAGTGCAGGTCCCATGACACACCCTTCTCTATTCTCTAACACAGGAGAATAGCTGGGACAGGGGTTCAGCAAGAATTGGCTACTGTCTCTGTCCACATCTCAGCATCCATTGCTTGAAGCAGCTGCCTCGTCTGACAAACAACTTGTCAAACATTTTATCTCCATGTCTTTGTCTGCATTTCTTTTCACCAAACCAATAAATCAACCAAGCACGCATGTCACAAACAATAGCATGCTTAAGCTACCGTATTTTTCTCTCTATAACACGCAGATTTTTTCTCCTAAAAAGGAAGGGGAAATGTCTGTGCGTGTTATTGAGCAAATGTGTGGTCCCTGGAGCCGAATGGCGCGAGTGGAGGCAAAAATCAGGCAAAAATCAAATCGTGTCTCGGAGAAGGGAAACCTGAAAAGAGGAATCCTGCATTCTGCCTCAGGGTCTTACTGCCCACCCTCTCTGTTTCGTTGCTGTGTTTGCTCAAACGGAACAAAGAGCAGGGAAAGCCCCTCCTCTCCAGGCAAGCAGAGGGGAAAGCAGAGCGTCCTTCCTTCTAATTCCTCTCCGTGCTCAGGAGGGAACAATGTTTGTGAAGGGAAGAGAGATTACAGGTTCAGCTTAAAATTCTGATTTGACTTCTTGCTTTTGTTTTTGAGGACACACAGCATTCAAATATGCCTTCTTCCATTTAAAAGGATGAAATCCTTAAACAGTGTTTTGCCTGTAAATTCATGCGATCTGGAAGATTACAGTGTCTGTACCTCTTAAGGGATGGCAAAGCTTAGGTTTCGCTGCTAAATAGTTCTTAATGCAGTTAAAATGCTTTCTTCTGTCAAGGCAATTAAAAAAAATATATATCAGGCAGCCGGAAAACATGCAGGTGGGAGAGAGAGAGCGCGAGATGGCTGGCTTGGGTGGGTGGGGGGAAACTTTTGCCTTCCTTTCCTCCCTCCCGTTATACCCCTCTCCTGCATTCTTAGCCAGCTGCTTCTCTGCACACCCCTCTCGTGCTCCTTGTCCCTTCTGTGTTTCTCCTTCCCTCCCCACTTAAAATGTGGTTACAAAGCATGGATCCACATGGATCCTCAGGATCTTTGCATTGGGTCACCCCAAATTCACCATCAGAGCACATAGCATGTCCATGGCTACAGCCTGCCCCCCAAAAATCACGCACCCACTGTTGCCTGGGGCTGCAATGGTGCAAAAACGTGGTTACAAAGCATGGGTCCACAGGGATTCTCAGGATTTTTGCATTGGGTCACCCCAAATTCACCATCAGATCACATGTCTGTGGCCACAGCATGAAGCACAAAAATGATACATCCACTGTTTCATTCAGAATGTTTTTTCCCTTGTTTTCCTCCTCTAAAAACAATGTGCGTGTTATGGTCAGGTGCGTGTTATAGAGCGAAAAATACGGTAATATTTGGTGTTAATTGTTTTTGCAGATATTTTAAATTGAATGCTGATACAGTGAACAAAAAGTAGAATTTGGGCCCAGAAGACATCTGCCATGGAGCTGCTTAACTCTGTGTTGAATTGTGACCATAGAGAAGAACTAAACATTACGGGAAACACATGGTTATCACTGAAACTGGGAGCCCCCGTTAAGAACCCCACCTGTTCCTTTGTAGCATGTAGTTCAACTACCATCATATCTTGACAGCATTACATTAGCTTTTTGAAAATCCCTTTACGCACAGGACTTGCTGCCACTAAAGGGGGTGGGAAAATGTTGATTGTAATGAGGATGTAATCCAGGGGAAATGGGCACAGGGCTGCCAGTTTTGTTGGCAAACATGTTTTGGTAACGTGTAGTTCTGCCCAGAGTGTGAGGAAATGGCATTCCATATATCTGAATTCCTTTTATTTAGAAAACACTGTTAACAACATTTTACCAAGGACTAGGTTGGTATAATCAGTAGTTATGGATAAACCATTTGATTCTTTTTTAAAAAACAAAAAACTTCAATCATAACGCAGCTGGTTACACAGGATATATGAAACACTACTTGGTAGTTAAGGAGCACTGATAGCAGCGGTTGCCTGAATAATACAGTGGTACCTCGGGTTACATACGCTTCAGGTTACATACGCTTCAGGTTACAGACTCTGCTAACCCAGAAATATTACCTAGGGTTAAGAACTTTGCTTCAGGATAAGAACAGAAATCGTACTCCGGTGGTGCAGCGGCGGAAGGAGGCCCCATTAACTAAAGTGGTGCTTCAGGTTAAGAACAGTTTCAGGTTAAGAACGGACCTCCGGAACAAATTAAGTACTTAACCTGAGGTACCACTGTATCAGATAGCTCAGAAGAGGGGAAGACTAAAGAGACATTGAAGATCTGCTCTCACATATGGCAAAGGGTGTTTGGTGTGCTGGGCCTGAAATGTCAACACAATGAATCCGTCAGGAGAAGAAGAGGAAGAGTAGGAACTACTTACCAGGAGTGAGAACCATGAGGCTGGCTGGAGCTGCCACCTGCCCAACGTTGTTCCTCGCAAAGCAGCGGTAAGTCCCCTCATCAGTTACCCGCACAGCTTGAATCTGCAGCCAGCTGGTCACCTCATATTTCTGAGGGCCTCCCCTAAACTAGAGTTAATTATATACCAACAGGAGAGACACAAATTCCATTGTTAAAAACTTTACAGCAAGTGGATTGCTGCTGAAATCTCCAATGGGGAGTTATTGAGACAGTCTCTGTATCACAGATCAATCAATTCAGGCATATCTAAGATACTGGTTGCACAGAGTCAAATCTCAGTTTTAGCATTGCTCCATTTGCCCTCCTTTCAGGTGAAGCACTATCATGTTCTCTGAAATATATTTTCTTGCACAAGCATATCTTGTCATTTATAAATGCTACCTCTGTCACATAGGACATCTTTTGTTATTTAGAAAGCCACACACCTGGAATGCAAAAGCTGTTGACTCATTTTCCTGTTCTAAGGCAGGGCCAAAAAGACTGAATATTTCACTTTAAAAGGTCTCCACGACCTCTGAGGCATGCATATTTCTTCTTTATTATTTGTCTTCCTATAATTTAGACCCTTTTTCTCTTTTCCTAATCCCAGCAGTCAGAGCAAACAATTAGTCTCTTTCAGTCATCTCTGTACATATTTGGAAACTGTAGGATTCCACCATATTCCTTGTTCTCACTTTAAATGGGATATTCCACCATCCTGAGTGTTTGGGTACACATAAACAAGAAAGGTGGCCCACTTCTGGGTTTTTAAAAGACGTACATATGCACACACATTTCACACTTGACGCATACATATTTTGTACTTGTGTATTCTCTGGGACATCTCAGCCTGCTGTGAAATACCAAGTCTCCCCTCACCCCCACTCTGAACTGGAAAACAATCTAAATTTCTTGCAGATGTAGCAAACTGTACTGTGGCACACTCTTTCTTTTCTTTTGGAGCATAAATCAGAATGGACTGGAAAGTGACCACAAACTGTCTTCTTGTTTCTCAGCCTCCTTTGTAAACAGGATACAAGCAGCTTTTCTCTGAAAGTGAATGTACAGGCTCTGTCTTTCTCTTTCTTTTGTCAACTCAGAGAGCACAGAATCACATCCAAAAAGTGATGTTACCTCACCAATGGGCAGAAACGCATGAAGCACAGAATTTAAAAGATCACTTTGAAATAGTCATTTGCTTATCTAATAGCAGCGCAACACTGAAACAAATTCCAGAATTTGCAATGCCTTGGCAGGGGCTGGAATAGAAAAGAGGAGAAAATGAAGGGTTTGTGGAGTCAATAGGAGAGGGACTGCTTGCCATGGATTGAATCGAACAGCTTTATGTGGGACTCAAAAACTTCACTCTCAATTGCTGAATGCCACACCCACATCCCCTTTGATTTTTCAGCTCTTAGAAGATCATGTCTACATACTTAACTATATGTCTACATACATATAGTTTTAAGATGAGGTCTAGAAACTTTTAAAATGAAAACTAGATTTCTCTGCATTCTTACAAAGCTATACAAGTCTGTGCAAAAGACTAAAATATGCAGTCACAAACCAGTAGATTTCCTGATTAAACTGGGAAACCTAACCTTAAACTGAGGATCCTCCAGTGGGATTAACCGATTTACAGCATAATCCTTTGCAGGATTGCCAGAATGTAAATACTACTGTGTTCAATGAAGACCACTTCCCACCTGCCTAGGATTTCCATTCCATTTTAAAGATAGATTCCTAAAGTTGTAGGGGTGCATGGGGATTTAGGGGTGCATTAGGACCTTGGTAGCATCATCTGGTTTAATACCTACCCTCACACTGAAGATTTTTCTGCGCAATATATTCCATAATGTTTCATTTAAACTGTTTTTAATTAACTCACAGAAAATGGAGTTTCTCTCTGGAGATTATTCCATTGTTTCAGCTTTTCCCTGTGGGAAAGCTGTTTCTGGTTCCAGTTTTCATTTGTTGGGTTTCATCCCCGATGTGCGGTCCAGCAAGAAAATGCAGTCAAGGAAAGTGACTTGAAATTCATTCTAGCGGAAGATGCCACCAGAAGCATAACACTACTTTCCCCCTGCCTGAAACATGGCGCTTCCCCAAGCTTCTCAATCCAGCAGTGATGTAGTTTTCGCCTCACCCAAACATTCCATACAATAATAATAAAGATTTGTAGTTTCTATAAAAGTTTCCCAGGACTTCCTTACACGCCCTTTAAATAGAAGGGTATACAAGCGGCTGCCCTACAGCCTCTCAAGTTCTATTTTGGGATGGAGCTCCAAGCCTGTTAACCCTTCTAAAGATAACTTGGCGAGCCTTCTGTTTTAGGGTTATGCACAGTGAGTACAATATTCCACATCTGCCCTTGTGGATACGTGTATTATTCTTCCTCAAAGGGGAACAGCAAAAAGTAAAAGATAATTGAACTTCACGGTAACAAAGGAAGTGTACATGCAGGGATGCAACTGTTTTTTCAGCAACAAAAAAGACATACAGTGGCACCTCAGGTTAAGAACTTTGCTTCAGGATGAGAACAGAAATCACGTGGTGGCAGCGCGGCAGCAGCTGGAGGCCCCATTAGCTAAAGTGGTACCTCAGGTTAAGAACAGTTTCAGGTTAAGAACGGACCTCCAGAATGAATTAAGTTCTTAACCCGAGGTACCACTGTATTCTGAAGAAAATGAAACTTCATCTGTGGCATATCTGTGGTTGGCGGGCAGAAGACCTAAGGTCAGCCTACCGTATTTTTCGCTCTATAAGATGCACCAGACCACAAGACGCACCTAGTTTTTGGAGGAGGAAAACAAGAAAAAAAATATTCTGAAACTCAGAAGCCAGAACAGCAAGAGGGATCACTGCGCAGTGAAAGCAGCAATCCCTCTTGCTGTTCTGGCTTCTGGGATAGCTGTGCAGCCTGCATTTGCTCCATAAGATGCACACACATTTCCTCTTACTTTTTAGGAGGGAAAAAGTGAGTCTTATAGAGCAAAAAATACCGTAAGTGATGGAAGATGCTAAAAGAAGGTAAATTAGGCCTGCCAAATAACTGAGTAATCTGAGTATCTTCTGCTGCAAAATCCTTTTTCAGACCTGCCCCATAAACACAAACCATTCTCCCCCTGAGCTCTTGCTGGAACTAGTAGCTCACCTGAACCGAGATGTGTGGGTCATCTCCAGGAAGCAGCATGTCCGATCCCTCCTTTCTCCATTCGATAGATGCCATGGGGTATGCAAAGACCTCACAGCCAAAGATCACATCTTGCCCAGTGATGTTCCAGATGTCATAGGGAGGCGATATGATGTGGGGCTCTGGAAAAGACCCAAAACTATCTGAGGGAAATAATCTCTGGGTTGCTTGTATATGAAGACAAAACATTTTCATGCTGGATTTTATAGATTAGTTCTCTCAGCTTGTTCTATCTGAGATCTGATTTAGGTGTGCTTTTCAAGTAATCCTTCTAGTACATGATGTGATATTTACCTTTCAATTGTCAGCCTGTAAGCAGTGCCTGTGTAATTTTAATATTTTTGTTCAGCAACTAGCAATTTTAGGTGCAGCAGCAGCAACCACCACAATTATAATTAAGCACATTGTTCTGTCCAGCTGTTGCACTACACTGCCTTATTTCTTATAAACAGAAAAAAGCCAGGCTTTTTATGACTGAACTGAATAGTCCTCTTCGCCTTGCCCACCAGCAGTTGTTAGTCAAGCATGTGTTTGCATCATGGCACATCTGTGAACCACAGCCCTTGGCCCCTAAACGGTGGTCCAGAGCTTTGTCATACTCGTTTAAATGAAGTGCTTCTCAGGGAATGCCGCCTGAGTCTCATGTTGCAGCAGAAACGTGACATCCTTGTGGCAGCTGCTAATCAGCCTGCTTTACTGTCAGATGCTTTGGCTACATTTTAAGCATCCTAGTCCCTCTCTTCCTCCTGTTGTGAGGTTGGCTGCACAGGGAGGGGACCATAGCTCTGTGATAGAGCATATTCTCTGCATGCAGAAGTCCCCAAGGTCAACCTCCAGTTAACAAAGGATTGGGTGCCAAGTGTTGGGTGGGATAGATAGCTCTCTACTTGAGACCTTGGAGAGCTGCAGAATGGATAATCCTGTAAGCTGTACGCCAGCCCCCTTGGCCAATAAAGCGAGATGAGCGCCACAACCCCAGAGTTGTCCACGACTGGACCTAATGGTCAGGGGTCCCTTTACCTTTACCTTTAAATATTTAAAAACATTGGTCAATAAAAAAAATCCTGGATTTTTCAATGGTAACAAAAAATATCCAGATGATATGAAATAGGCTGGAATGGACATGTGATTGAACACATGGGGAAATGACACAGGCTGAAAAAGAAGACTGGTCTCACTTTGCCATTTAAGAGGCTTCTGGCCAGATGTTTAGGTTCACTCTAAGCACTGGGGATGTCCCCTAACAACCATACAGGCCTTATTTTCAATTACTGCTTTTTTTGGGGGGTGGAACCCCATGATCTTGGTCTCCACAGCTTTCCATAGAAAATAATTACAGTGCACAGTGAAGAGGTCTATGCATCACTCTTAAGGTGAGGTTGGGCTTTGCATACAGAAAGTCCTAGGTTGAGGTTTAATACCTGGCATTTCCAGTTTAAAAAGCTCACATGGCAAGTGATGGGGGAGATCTTTGCATGAGACCCTGGAACATCTCTACCAGTCATTGTAAAGGTAAAGGGACCCCTGACCATTAGGTCCAGTCGTGGCCGACTCTGGGGTTGCAGTGCTCATCTTGCAACCAGTCATTGTACTGGGCTTGAAAAAAAAAAAAGCTTGAACTAGTTTAAGGGAGCTGTCAAAGCATTCCCCATTTCTCTTTTGTCCAGCTTAAAGCTGTCCGTCTGTTTCATTTCCCAAATGCCCCTTTTTCTTGGAATGTAAATGTGGAGAAATGCCTTCTCATTTTATTTCCAAATCATCGCTTGCAGCTTCACTTGGAAATTTAGAGAAAACCTGCAAAAGCCTTACCTGATTCACAGGGTCCTTCATGGGCCACAGTGAGATTAGCCTCTGGATGGGAGTTATGCACCTCTTGAAATTTGCATATTTGGGCATAGGTCTTGCCATCGGAGCCACAGAGAGCCTGGCTAGATTGGCAAGTGCACTGAGGCTCAGGCACCTCACCGCGCCGTAGGTCCCCGGAATCAAGGCGGCACTCTAAGTGATCCCCACACTTGCCATAGAAGTGGTTGGTATTGTCCAAGTCACAGATTTGGCCCTCCAGATTGGCACACTCCCAACAGCAGTCACAAGCATCCAGCACCACCCCAGCAAGGCAGCCACGTGGCGTGGGACATTCTTCCAATCTACATTGCACACAGCTTTCCCCCTCCTCCAGAAGCCTCTGCCAGCCACGCTGCAAGTAATCTGGGCCGACAGGCAGGGCTCGACTGAGTACATCCCAGCACGAAAACAGCAAGAGAAAGGTGACTAAGTTAGCAGGCCGAGACATTCTCACAAGCTTTCGGGAACTTGGCATCCATTCATCACCCTTGCCGAAAAACATCCCTTGGACACTTGGGTCCTCAGCACCGGTCACTGCAATCTTCTCTACAAGGCCATCAGTGACTGCAAAAAGGAAACAGAACTTAGAAGAGGGGGATATATTCAGAGGCAACCACTTAATGAATCCCTGAGGTGTGGGGAAGGGTTGTGGCTCAGTGGCCGTACCTCCAAGTAGGGCTGAGAATGTCCCCTTCTTGTAACCCTGGAGATCTCCTGCCAATCAGTGTAGACAATACTGAACTAGATGGACTACTGGGCTGACTTGGTATAAGGCAGTTTCTTGTGTTCCTGTGGAACTATATGAGGAACGAGGGACATCAACTGGGGGGAAAGGCAATCTCACCCACCACTGAACCCAATGTATTTTGACCATACGTTATTTTAGCTTTACACGCTATCACCGGAATGTAACTCCCGTGAAAGTTGAGAGTCGCCCATACAATATATATAACTGCAAGATGTTTCATCAGGCAGACGGGAAAGTTAAACCTGAGGTATTATATCCAGAACAATAGTAAAAGCGCATTTCGATCATTTCAGATCACAGTTTATTTACAATTATTTTAGCATTGAAAAATATAATAGCTAACAGGTGGTTATGGGCTATTGTTGTCCCAAGCCAGGAACTCAACCCCTAGTCTATTTAAGCCGCTGTGCTTTCTCTGCCATAAGGCTATGAATGTTAATTCCCAAGCTTGCCTTTCATGTATATTGTACAAGCTTCCTTTTAGAACAAAGCCTGCGAGGTCAATGAGGGAGCAGTCATGCTGTGAAAATATTCACTCAGCACGAAGTTATTCTTGTCCATGATCATTTTTCTAGGCTAGTTCATTCAAAATATTGGGGGTTGTTTGACTTCAGCCATGCGGCTGCCATTGAGACAGGGACATCTGTTGCATTGTATCAGGTAGTTAACAGTTGTTCTGAAAGAAATGGCCCTTGGGTAGGGAAGAGGGGATGCAATTGCTATTTCTGTCACTCACTTGCAGTTGCAGCCAATTAAGTGTCAAGCAGGTTCCCCCCCCCCCCAGTATATTATCCTTGGTTCTTATCACCTTTACCACCCCCATTCCCACTCCTCCATGGTAATGTCTATTTCATGCCTCTTGCCTCCAAAAGCTAGGATCCTAGATCCACCTACCTATTTTGGTCTAATAGACAAACAGATATATCCTCAGCAATAAATAAAATAACCCAACTCCTCTGGGCTGCTCTGTATCGCTAGAACATACACACCTCAGGTCTGAAGACAGAACCTAGTATTTCAGATGTGTTTTTGTACCATCTCCTCTAGATTTCTCTGTCCATCCAGGTCCTAATGACTAACATGACACCCTGCATCCCCCCCCCTAACTTTGGAGATAGAAACCCCACTCTGTTATTATGGAAGTGCACTAATGAGCACTGCTAGCAATATTCTCACTTACAGACAAGCGCTAAAGAAAAAATTGCATGGCATTTCAGATGAAACTAATCCATAACAGAAGGAGTTCTATTGTTTTATAGAAAACACACTCTGTATAGCCCCGGGCATTAAGGGCTATCTTGTGACAGCCAAGCCTTCCCAGAATTGTTCTCCTTTACTCCCCACTCCCTCCTAACCACAAACATGCACATTTTCATACCAGACCTTTAGTTAGCTACTATGATGATAGCAACTTTTACTGGTGAGCTAGAAATTACACTTCTGCCAACATACTAGGTCTTGAGACTCTGGTGATAATAATACAGGGGGGAGAGAGAAAGACTCAGGGAAGGTCTCTAGTGTTTGGTTGTGGATGAATTTTGCAATGTGTTTTATTGTGGATTATTTTTACAACATATTTTATTGCAGAGGAATTTTGCAACATATTCTTGACACAATAGTGGTGGATTTATTATATATCATTAATTGTTCTTCAGTGCTTCCCCAATGTTACCAAATTATTGCTGTCTGGAGGAACTACAGTGGGACATATGCAGGGCAACACCCTGAACATCTGTGGTATAAAAAGTTTTGGAATTTCAGCAGGAAGTTGCAGGATATGCAGTGAATGGAAATGAGGCAGTATGAATACCCCAAAACATTTGCTGGTGCAAACAGTATTGAAAGCAAGATTGTGTATGACCACCCCTGATACCATCATTATCACAAATCATCATGAACATGCAATTAAAAAGTTGTTTGGATGGGCCCTATGACGGCTCAATTGCTGTGAAGTTAAGGCTGCAACCATATGCACATTTACCTAGGAGTATGCTCCACTGAACACAGTGGGACTTGTTTCTGAGTAAACATGTCTAGGACTGTGATGTAAATAACAGTATGATGCTAAATATAATACATCAGAATGAATGAAGTGCTGTAACTCAGTTTCCGAACACCCTCAGGAATATTACTGTTCAACAATGTTATTCTCTCCCTGCTAATTGAAAACTTTGCTAGACTTTAGATACATCTTTAGAGGAACTTAGCGCAGGGGACCAGGGGAAATAATGGAAGCATCAGGGCCCATAGAGACACAGCGAGCAGTGATTTTAGAGGCCAATTGTTTCATGCTTTGCCTGTAGACAGGATTCCTTGGACCCATCCCATCCATGACAGATGTTTATCCAACCAGTGCTTAAATGGTTCCAAGGATATGTATCTCCTGTGGCTGAAAACCTGGAGCCAAGTCTGAAATGCTCGTTTTTCCAGAACTGACTCCAAGAGTTTCAGAAATCAATGGATACCTTGAGATTTCAGGAATGGTCAAGGAGCTCATCGAATCATAGAATTGTAGAGTTGGAAGGGACCCTGATGCTCATCTACTCCAATCCCCCCCCCCAGGCAGAAATCTCAACTAGATCATACATGACAGATGGCCATCCAAGCTCTGCTTGTAAACCTCCAAGGAAGGAGAATCCACCACCTCTAATGGGAATTTGATCCCCCGTCAAACAGCTCTTACTGTCAGAAAGTTAGTCTGAGCAGCTGGTCTGGAGGACCATGCTTGAACCTTGAAAGGAAGGTTCAGGAAGCTCCAGTATTTGAAAGTGTCTCACCATGCAAATATTTACCCTCCTTTATTTTAAATGCTAGACCTGACTTGAATTGCCTTAATCCAGTAAATCATGGTAATGAGTATTCCTTCTTTTGAGAACTCTCCAGTTCCTTGCATACTATATACAGTAGACAGTGTAGCCCTAAAATATCTCATTAAAAAATAATAATCATGCAGCTCTGTTCCCCATACAGGGGTGGATGCACCTACCTCCGCTCAGACTAGGCAAAGCCTGTGGCTGGTTCAAAATCCTGGTGATCAGTTGCTTCCAATGCCGTCCTGAATATCCCCTCCAACCGGGTTAAGCTGGATGATTTTTGCCTTTTCCAGTGGATTAGTTTGTCTGCATCTCTGCTTGGAATGAGGACCAGTGATGTCACAATGAAACGTGATCCCCTGATCCCAGCCCTCTCCTTTCTCCCGCCCCTCAACACACACAAACAGTACTACTTCCACTAAAGCCTGCCTGATTAGCCACTAGACTTGTTTTCATCCTGAATGGCCACGAGTGAAGCCCAACAGAAACCTCCTTCGCTACTCCTGGCTCTGCTCTACAGAGAAACCACAATTGTAACTAGACACTTTTTTCACTGACTACTTAGGAAGCAGACTCTAGGCAGAAAAATCCTTTTTTATTATTATTAGAAGTATAAACTGGAACTCAACATGTCCAGGGGGGAGCTCAGAGTTCTTGGGTGGCAGATGTGCCTGATTTTTCCGAAGCAAAACATTCCACAGCAGAAGAGCCCCCAGAAACTCCTTGAGTGGCCCCTTCTGCTTGCTGTAAAGAAAAGCCGTGAAAGTGAGAGGTATTTGGGGAAAGTGATATTTAGTTGCCACATGGATGGTATGTTTCAGAGGGCATTCTCAGTGAGGAACATCAGAGTGGTGAGATGGGAAGAGGCAGCACCTTTAAGACATGACAGGAGCCAAATACTGAACTTTTTCTGCCAATGCAACAGTGCAGGTTGGTTCAAGAAAGAATCCACAGCCTGCCAAAGTTCACCTGAGATGTAGCCACATACACACTGCCTCCCAAAATAGAACATTTAAAGAGGGCACGTATTTGCATAAAAATGGCATATGCTAATTTACATAGATGCGAATTTACAGAAAGAAAGAAAGAAAGAAAGAAAGAAAGAAAGAAAGAAAGAAAGAAAGAAAGAAAGAAAGATCTCTGCGTATGATTTGCTAGCAAAAGATGAAAAGTTTGATCTGGTATGTGCCAAAATAAGCAATCCCTCTTTTTCCTTGTCTGCCACTCAGATGTGGGCTCTTTCATACCCTGAGAAAGAATGTAAACCTAGATAAACAAGCCAGGCATCACAACAGAATTTCCTTGGGAAAGTCATGTGATCCTTCTCTTGATTGTCTCACCAATGAGGTTTCCCAACTGAAATACAAGGGCAGCAGAATCATATTGTGTGCTAGATTGCATAGTTAATTAAGGCCCCGTATAAAAACTCCCTGGTGGTTTTTTTTAAGGCATGTCAAAAATAAGAGGCCTATCTCAGCCTTCTCTCTGACAACTGCATACTGTTACTGTTATGGATGGGCCCTTATGTCACTGATCAACACATTTGCCTTTGTTTTCTCTAGGATATCAAAGCTGTGCTGGCTAAGATGCCTATGTGCTAAAAAGGTTCAATGAAGACTCTTTGTCTGATCCAATTATGTTCATATGAACAGCAACAGGAGTGTGTCCCTTTTCTTTTCAAAGAGAAGATACCTGATTTGATATGTATGCTGCTTCCCACCAAAACAACCCCAGAGTGATCTTTTGCACTTGCATGTATTGCAGAACTATAGGTGTAACTAAGGGACAACCCTCAACTAAATGCATATGGAGGGACCAAGACTTTTAGCACTGAGTGAAAAGTTCATTGATGAGGATTATGGGATCCATCCTAAGGTTCCACCACAATTCACATATAGGATTCCAACTGTGGCTGTGAGTCTAGCTGTTGTCCAGCGTGATCTGGAAGTGCAGATCCTGGATCCCTGGATCCAGCACCCTTCTACTCCTGTGGAATGGAGAGGACAATCAGCAATAGTGGACAAGCTAACTTCAGGCAGCTTCTGTGCCATTGCCAATCTTTTCATTGAGGAACCTCAATGGTTAAATGGGGATTAGACAATTTCAGGGAAGATATCAATGGCTGCTGGTCATGATGGATGTATGATACCTCCAGAAACAGAGGTACCGTAACTTGCCCCTGAGTACCATGAACAAAAGAGTGCTGTTGCATTCCCATCCTGCTTAGGGGCTTTTGTAGGCATCTGGTTGGCCACTGCAGGAAAGGCGACTCTGGGCTTGATGGCCCCCTGATCTCATCTTCCTATGTTTTTAACCTCTCATGTGTTTATAAAGAACACCACTTGAAAACTGAGCTAGGAAGGACTGAGTAAGGGTTGAAAATGGTGCCTGGGTGCACTACTTTGATATTCTTTCAGAGTAGTATTCATTTATTTATCTATTGCAATATTTCCATTCTTCCTTTCAGCCTCTCACAGAGTCCCCAAAGTAGCTTGCAATCACAAACTAAAACAAACACAATCAAACAATAAAATAAAGCCGGGAGCTTAAAAACAACAACAACAAACCCATACCAGAGCTGACTATCCAAACATAATCACAAAGGGAAGAGAGAGAAGGCTAAATCAAAACAGAATCTTGGCAGGGCAAAGAAATATTTGCAGAGTGTCATAATACAATTAAAGAGGGGGCAACTGGAGCCCTCCAAGGTAGGGAGTGGTCCTGTATTCAAAATAGTATCATCAGTTCACATTCAAATTGGTGATGATTATCTAATTAGTAGTTGGCTACAATAAAGATTCAAACAGTAGAACAAAATAATGCCATCCTGTGGCCTCAGTAGCATTTGCAAGGCTTTGCATAATGCTTTCAGTAATAGTAGATCTAGATTACCTTTTAAAAATCAGAAATACACATTTAGTTTCTTTGCAAGCTTCTGAGAAGTCGAGTTGTGCAAATAACAAATGGGAACTGATCCACCATTGCGCCAGACTTTTGTGTTCTACTTCACTGTATTTATTTTAAAGTACACGAGGTAGCTCAGTCGGTAGAGCATGTAACTCTTAATCTCATTGTTGTGGGTTTGAGTCCCATGTTGGGCAAAAGATTCCTGCACTGCGGGGGGTTGGACTAGATGACCCTCGTGGTCCCTTCCAACTCTACAAATCTATGATCAGTGTTACCACTTCCATTAGTTTCTTTCATTCTACACATCCCTTGGTTCTCCAGCAACAACTCCTGATGATTGGAGGGGGGGTAACCAGGAGAGGCAGAGTGGCTATTGACAAAACACACACGCACAACCCCTGAAATGTTTTCAGCAGCTTTGAGCTTGAAATCCACCCACCCAAACTGGCTCCTTCCAGTTACCTTAGCTTAAAAGAAACCTCCAGCCCCAAAGGATCCCCACTACAGACAACCTATTGTGAGAATGGGGAAACAAAGTGAAGGTTTTTCCCTAATATACATTCAAAATGAGACCCTGAAACAGAGACAGGAAACTTTTATCACAATGTCAATAATCACAGCACCCAGAAACCCAGGCAGGAAAAGACCTGAATCCTGAGGAAAGTCATGATGGGATAGGAGAGGAATCCAGTAGAAAAGGAGAGTAGTTTTGCAGGGTGTTATGGAGAATCCAGATGCAAGAAACAGTTTGATGAGCCAGAGGTTGCTGTGAAGTAGATAGACTGAGAAACAGTTGAGGAGGCATTTCTTCTCCTCCTCTTCTTGCAAACTGGTACAAGCCACTGCTGTGACCTGCAATTAAACCTAAGTAGCAGGACTATGCTTAAAAGGTTCAGGAGGTAACTCTGGTTTGCCTACCCACAAGGCCCACCTGAGACCCTTCTTCATGTGTTCCCCCCATGAGGGGTCTGGAGGGTGGCAACATGAGAATGGGACTTTTCTGTGGTGGCTCCCTGTTTGTGGAATGTGCTGTTTGTGGAATGTGGAATTTATGCACCCATTCCAGCTTGTCAGTACCCTTCTTAAACTGTGGTGCCCCAAACTGGACATACTATTCCAGGTGTGGTCTGACCAAGGCAGAATATTGTGGTACTGCTACTACCTAACAGTTACCTTGTCCAGCTCACAGGTTACCAGCCTCTCCACAAGAATATCATGGTAGACTTTGTCAAAAGCTTTATTCAAATCAATATACGCTGTGTCCACATCATTCTCCTGAATGCTCTCCCCAGGGAGGCTCACCTGGTGCCTTCACTACATATCTTTAGGCGCCAGGCAGAAACATTCCTCTTCTCCCAGGCCTTTGGCTAATTATAGAGTCTATGGCCTTTTAGACCATGCAGGGGCAGGGGTATTGCTTTTGTTTGTTACTATGAGCTCCTGTTGCTCGGTCCCTGCTCCTGCCAACCTAGCGACTGGGATGCGGGTGGTGCCGTGGGTTAAACCACAGAGCCTAGGACTTGCTGATCAGAAGGGCGGTGGTTCGAATCCCTGTGACAGGGTGAGCTCCCATTGCTTGGTCCCTGCTCCTGCCAACCTAGCAGTTCGAAAGCACGTCAAAGTGCAAGTAGATAAATAGGTACCACTCTGGCGGGAAGGCAAACAGCGTTTCCGTGCACTGCTCTGGTTCGCCAGAAGCAGCTTGGTCATGCTGGCCACGTGACCCGGAAGCTGTAGGCTGGCTCCCTCGGCCAATAAAGTGAGATGAGTGCCACAACCCCAGAGTCAGTCACAACTGGACCCTTTACCTTTACCTTTATGTTACATACCGTATTTTTTGCCCTATAGGACGCACTTTTTCCCCTCCAAAAATGAAGGGGAAATCTGTGTGCGTCCTATGGGGCGAATACAGGCTTTTGCTGAAGCTTGGAGAGCGAGAGGGGTCGGTGTGCACCGACCCCTCTCGCTCTCCAAACTTCAGGAAGCTATCAGCAAGCCTGGGGAGCCCACGGGAGTTCCCGCAGGGCTTCCTAGGCTGCGGATAGCAGCCTGCCACCCTGCGTGCGGAGGCGCCCTGAAGCAGAGCACCCCTCGCGCCGGGCAGACATCCGCAGCGTGGGGAGCCCTGCGGGAGTTCCCGCAGGGCTCCCCACGCTGCGGATAGCAGCCTGCTGCCCGGCACGCAAGGCGCCCTGAAGCAGAGCGCCTCGCGCAGCGGGCAGACATCGGCCAGCCCCACAAACTCGGGGGACAGAGGGGAGGCGGAGTGCTGCCATACCGCTGTTCCCCGACCTGGTTTGGTTCCCCCGACCTGGTTTTGGGGGGGAAATAAAGGAAAAAAATTTTTCCTTTATTTCCCCCCCCAAAAACTAGGTGCGTCCTATGGGACGGAGCGCCCTATGGGACAAAAAAAATACGGTATGTTTGTGTTTTTATATTTTCAACTGCACTGTGATCCTCGGATGAAGGGAAGCATAGAAATTCAATAAATAATAAATTAAAGAAATAATAACAATTGCCTGTGTTCTGTGCCTGCTATTGTTCTCTCCTGTCCCTTGTAGGAAGAGCCAATCTCCCTTGCGCTGTTCTTTCCTTTAAAAACTGGAGGCATTTTGTCATTTGGCTCAAACACACAAATGACTTCAAGGTTTTCTTTGTGCAAGGAAACATTTGATTCCCACCCCACACTAGGACATCATCAGGGCCTTGGATGGTGGATGACTATCATGCGGTCACTATACTGACAACCACTACAAAGCTGGCAGCTCAGTCTGCTTGGAGGGGAAGTTCCTTGGGGTTGATTTAAAGGAGAGGCTGTGTGTACATGGGTATAGAGTCCCATGTGCAATCCCATGCATGTGCTCATTAGCAATCTTTGGCCTGGACAGATACTGTTCCTCCATGTGGATGCTGCACACATGAATAAGTATACTTTAAACACAGGCCAGGGCCAGACAGATCCTTGCATGAGGAAAATTCCTTTCGTACAGCCAGCATCTCATTGTAATTGATCCTTATGCTTAGGATCAGAAGATTGCAACACACTGCATGTCAGAAAGCATGCTAGATTAGAAAACCCTTTACTGGTTTGCCAAAGGATCCTTTGGATATGAACCAACATTTGCATTACTGTCTATCTGGAGGTGGGAAGAATGCAGTATCCTCTCAGGCCACACTCTGGGACCAGAGTGAAAGCAACAAATAATGAGTGCTGGGGAGTGTCCAGCGCTTTTGAGCTACGCAAAAGGCTTTCCCCCCTTGCCAGTCACCTGAGTGATGTCTAAATATAAATTACTGCTTAGGCATGCTGTTTCTGCTCCATGCGCTTGCAGACACTTAGCTGTGAGAGGCTCTGATAGATCATAAAGCAGAAGTTGTTGGACTACAGATCCTGTTGTTGCTGACCATTGGCCACACTCTCCAGGGATGATGGGACATAGAGTCTGACAATGTCTGAAGGCCTACAGGTTCCCCATCCTTGGCATAAAGAGTCTGTTCACTATGGGTTTAATAATTCCCCAAACAATACCTCCTACACATCATTAGACTTCCCTTCACAGGTTGGCAGCAACTTCAGTGCTTTGTCCTGCTCAAGGGAATCTGCTATGGTTGTTGTTCTCATCTGCTATGAAGCCAGGTGTCTAAACAAGCTTGTCTCAAGTCCATCATTCTTAGAACAAGCCATGGGGTTGCATTGTGAGCAGTTGTAATCCACAGCACTGCTGGCCAATTCATAAATCTCTCTAGTCTATGCCATCTAAACCAGCTTTCACTCACTGCTCCTTAAGCTGGAATTCCTCTATAGGTTTTCTTGGCAAGAGCCCAGAGATCTGAGGAAATGAGCCGACAAGTCTGCCTCCCGCCAGCACCTGATTTGGAACCTCTTCCTATGCAAACACAGAGAAATCCCAGGGCTCTGAGCCAAGGAAATCAAACATAGACTTTTTAGCCATTGTTAGTTTTATTTCTTCAAGGAATTCCTATAGAGAGACTGCTTGGCTTTGAGGTCTGGGAAGAAGCTTTGTAATAGAAGGACAAAAGTACTGGCATAGACTTCATGTTAGCAGTGGAAAAACTAACAAGCCCAGATATATGCATAGATGTGATATGTTCATTTATGAATCTTGGAACCTTTCATTTTCTTTCTATTTTTATGTACCAGGGACTGCCACTCCGGCTCGTGTTGTTTGTCACTCCCAATTACCCCCCACCAAACCCCCATACCAATGCCCTCCCCCTCCCTTCACACCTCAGCCCCCCAAACCCCTACCTTTATAAAAGGTAAAGGGACCCCTGACCATTAGGTCCAGTCGTGGCTGACTCTGGGGTTGCGACGCTCATCTCGCTTTATTGGCCGAGGGAGCCGGCGTACTAAGCCGCTTCTGGCGAACCAGAGCAGCACACGGAAACGCCGTTTACCTTCCCGCTGGAGCGGTACCTATTTATCTACTTGCACTTTGACGTGCTTTCAAACTGCTAGGTTGGCAGGAACTGGGACCGAGCAATGGGAGCTCACCCCGTCGTAGGGATTCGAACTGCCGACCTTCTGATCGGCAAGTCCTAGGCTCTGTGGTTTAACCCACAGCACCACCCATGTCCCTTTATACCTTTATACCTCCCTCCAAAAGATCCCTCCCTGCTTCCCTTACAACTCATCCTGCTCAAAGCTCACCCCAATTCCCCGCCATCCCCATCCCCAAAGGTTTTTTTCTCTTAGCTGAGGTGGTGTGGCAGGGAGAGGTGAAGGGGACCAATGCTTTCTTCCCTTTGTCATTCCCGTCAATGCCACCAACCCCGCCAGTGCTGCCTTGGCCAGGAGAAGGAGGCCTGCATTTTAAATGCAGCCTTCCTTCTCTCATAGGTGGGGGTGAGATAGAGGAAGGGAAGAAAGAGCTTCTCCCTTTCATTCCTCTACCCTGTCGGGGGTGATGTGGCCACAACAGCGACAACAGGGCAAGTGCAGAAAGCCCTGCCTTGGGCTGCCTGCTGGCCAGGTCGCTCTGCCTGCCTGCTCATTGTGCAGGCCCACTTGCGCTAGCCCACTCACTTACACATGCAGACATATCAGGAATACTGCAATTGGCAGCAGTGTCCGGGCAGAAATCGACAAAGATGTCCGGGAAAATCCAGACATATAGCAGGCCACGTTGACAGTGCTGTTTTTGCCAGTTTCCCATAAAAATAGCTCAAAACAGCAATTTTCACTGTTTGAAATATGGCAACCCTAGCAAATACAATGTAGAAATGAAAATTTTCTGCTGGCATAACAAGATTTCAATTTCTTCTCCTCCCTCTGTGCACCTCCCAAACCTGATCTGGAAAGCCTGCCAACCCTCCGAAGCTGATTTTGAGGACATGTGTGGGAAGGGCTGGAGAGGAAGGTCTGTTGTGTGAAAGAAGGCCCTTGCACTGCAGGAGCCCTATACTTCTGGAGTGCATGCACCTAGTTTGTTAACAACTGGACTCTCCCCTACATAACCTCACAATCCCCCATTCTGCCCCACCCAACCAATGTGCCTCAAGTCATGGTTCTCCTTCTCTAATGCTTAACTCATTCTTTGATGCGAAAGGGCATGATCGTGTAGGAAGGAAGTATGTCACAGGGCGCACCCAAAAGGGACTAAAAAACAGGGGAAACAGAAGCCAGCCACTCTGGGTCCAAGTGGTTCTTCATTTATTCCATTGCCAGAATGTTGATCTTGTTAGGAAATAATCAGGATCATAGCCAAGGGGTCATGTGGATGCCTAGAAACCTCAGGGACTGTCCAGATTTAGACACCTCCCTAAATGTTCAGTTTTCATTTTTTTTAAAGGAAAGTTAGCCTTTTTACTTGCAGGGGGAAAAACCATGCAGACTGTATTGTACCCAACTGTTGACTAAAAAGTAACTCAACTAAATAGTGTTGAATGCATTTGTTTGGCTACCTGTTCTGGCTGCTCTGTGGTCATTAAGTTTCCTTGCCACAAAGGTTATGGCTACAGGCCTCTAAAGGATTCTCATTTCCCATGACTACCCACCACGTTCAGGTCCCCAATGAGACTTGTGTGTCTTACTGCAGCTGTAAGAAAAAGAACCACCACTATGAAAAATGGGCTAGTGTTGGCAGCCAAAGTGCATTAAAGGCTGGGAACCCTCCATTAGAGATGCTTAGGCCCTGCACTGAACAACAGGCCCCCTCATACAGGCAACCTCATAGTTCCCAGGATCTCCTGCAGAGATCCAACCTGTTTAAGCCAGCAGGGTGGGTAGACCTGAAAAAGTTAATGATGCTCACTGCATCTCTAACAACATCTCTTGCCGACCCCAAGAGCCATGCTAGAGCAATTGCTCTTGTGTTCGGCAGCAACACACGTTTCCCCACCTGTATTAACTGCAGAATCCATAAGCGTGGGGCCTTTGGCTTGCCTTTCTCTGGGCACTTTGTAAGCCGACTTCCCGTTAAAAACTCCCCTCTCAGCAAATTCTTTCAGAAACCATTCTCCCTGCTGCCGCCAGCCACACTTGAGTTTCCCAGGCTTCCTCTCAGAGGAGCCAGAAAAACTGTTAATGCTCCAAGTCTGGTTAGGATTGGCCAGCCCTGATCCTTAGCGATTTCACCCTTTACACTTTCGTAAAGCTGCTTTCTATGCACCTTTCCCTTTCCCAGGCCAATGTCTGATTCTCTCCAGGCCAACGTCTTTTCATCAGCATTTTACCCCATAGGTTCAGGAGTAGAGGATTTGAAGCCCCCAACATACTATGCTATAAGGCTCTTGAGTAGCATTGCCAAAGGATCCTGCTACAGCCTCCCTTCAGTCCTCAGGTATGTTTGAAGGGCCTCCACACCATGGAAACTCTGTTTTGTTTCCCAAACTTTGGGGCGCATGGGATTAGCAGAGATCCAGCACGAGGTGAAGACTAGCCAGAGATTTCCATGAGTGTATCAGCAGCCAAGCTGTGTTCTTCCAAGTGAGGTTCCCTCAGCCAGCAGCACCTGCCCCCATTTGTAGCAGGGCACATGAGGGATGGATGCTGTTCTGATGCACAGCAGAAAGCAGGGGGCTCAAAAAAGCCCTGCAGATTTTGTGCATCTACTCAAGTGCAAAAGGAGCAGTGACAGAACCGTATTAAAGAATGCATGGCCTGTGCTAAACTCCATTCTGGGCCATTAGCCATCCTCAATGGCAAACACACACTCTAGTCATGAATTTTACACCTGCTGCAAAACCCAGAAAAATTGTTCTTTGTGCTGGCCAAGTAATTTGCACAAAACTATGCTATCACTAGGGACGCGGGTGGCACTGTGGGTTAAACCACAGAGCCTAGGACTTGCCGACCAGAAGGTCGGCGATTCGAATCCCCGCGACGGGGTGAGCTCCAGTTGCTCGGTCCCAGCTCCTGCCAATGTAGCAGTTCAAAAGCGTCAATGTGCAAGTAGATAAATAGGTACCACTCCGGTGGGAAGGTAAACGGCATTTCCGTGTGCTGCTCTGGTTCGCCAGAAGCGACTTAGTCATCCTGGCCACATGACCCGGAAGCTGTACGCCAGCTCCCTCGATCAATAAAGCGAGATGAGCGCTGCAACCCCAGAGTCAGCCACGACTGGACCTAATGGTCAGGGGTCCCTTTGCCTTTACCTTTATGCTATCACTGCTGGTGCTTTGCCATGTGAGGACTATACTCAGTAAGCAGTATAGTTCTTTAGGATTTTGTGTTTTTTCTGTTTGAAAAGTAATAATAAAAAAAACCTGCTGTTGGCATTGCAATTTTGCATCAGGCGGCAAAATGTTTCGGACTGGCTCTGCCCAAGCAGAGCAAAGGTTGGGCTGCAAGCTGAGCTAGTAAGCTCTTCCCCCGTGTCAGCTAGATGCCGCCCAGATGTGCTTTCCTGGTGGAAACTCAGTCAAATCCTACAGAACCAAGTATCGCTGTCTGCCCAATGACATCCTCTCCTAGTATGCACAACACATACACACACATACACACCTTAACCTGCATGTTTCTGTATTTTGTACTACATCTTTTTCTTCATAAAGTGAAGTTGGTCCAACTAAGTCTCTTTCCAGTAATGCTACATTCTCCTTTGCTTGGAGCTAAATTGGAGGAAGTGGGAGTTCGAAGGTTGCAGACTAAACAGTCCAGCACCTGGTGTGTGTTTCTCCTCCCACACCCTTGCATCTCCCAAGGTTCCCTGGGACATCCAGTCTCAATGCATGTTTTCTCCATTATAGGCCTTGTCCGAGTTCTCTGGTCTCCTCCAAGCAGCAACTATAGCTCAGCTTCATATAATGTCTGGCTACAGAAAGCAAGCTGGCATTAACTTTAAGTGCTACAGACAGCCGAACCATTTCTAACAACGCAGAAACAGAACTTGAAACATACAGATCACATCAGGAACTACTTCTGAGGTTGGAAAAACAAGGAGTACATGTGCCATACATTTCTGCTATTGTGGTTACATCTGAAGTTTACAGGGCAGGCCAGGACTGCAAGCAGATGAGGTCTGATCAGCGTCCCACTGCTGTTCTCAGCATAAAAATCATATATGAAGGCCCCCTTTGCTCTCAAAAATGGATACTTATAGGCACATACTGAGAGCTGGTCCATTTGCTGAAGAACGTAAAGTAAAATTAGACAAGAAGGCAGTTGAAAGGGAAGATGGGGACCTTAAGCAAAAGAAGTGGCATGCTCATGTCTTATAATTAACTACATGCTTGGTAACCAGAGACAACCAGGAATTCCATGCAGGGGAATGACGAGGCTAGCAGAGGAGGGATGGACCTCTTCATTCCTCCCCCTCCACCAGCTCACTTGGTTTCCACAGAAGGAGGAAACTTCCTTTCTTCATGACCAGCACAGAAATGCAGTGGTATGGTGGTGAAAGGGGTGGGGGATGGAGTGATCCAGTCCTCCTCTGTCAGCCTGCTTGGTATAACTTTTGTTTGTTCATTTCCATGCCGGCTGTAGAGGAGGAAACTCCCCATCTCCATGGCCAGGATGGAAACACAGGCGGCAAGTCTCTTATAGCAGACTAGTAAAAAAAAAAAAATCAGGCTAGTAACTTTTGTAGGCTTATTTGCAAGGCTGATGCGATGTAGCAAATCAGTATTAGAATTCAGTTCATTAGAACTCCTGGCTAGCCTTCCTCTCTATCACTGTGTAAATGGTACAGGATCACATATCATAGCCTAATATGAGTACCAAAGAAGCTAGATAAATAACTAATTCTACAAATTATCCTTTTTAAACCTTTTGTTATAAATTTAGTATGGATAACAAGCGATAGAAAATAACAAGCGATAGAAAAATAAAACATCTTCAAAACATCTTCAAAACAATTCCAATATAGATGCAGACTGGAAAAGATCTCAACTTAAAAGGCCTGTTGAAAGTGGAAGGCCTTCGAATAGGTACTAAAAAGACAACATCCAAGGGGAGGAAATTCTAATGGGTAGATCCAATCCCTACATTGTGCAAAATGGACCTCCTTATAACGTGCTGTCGGTAGGAGGCCTTCACCTGTAGATCACAGTGTTTGATTAGGTACATAAGGGGTAAGATGATTGTCAGGGAACTGCCATCAGTGCCGGAGGGAGAGAGAGAGCTCCAGAGGGATCCCAGAGAGCGTCACGGGATTGGGAGAGGCAGCCCATCTTCTGGGAAAGGGAATCAGCTCAGCTCCAGTGGAGAAGGGGGGCAGATGGGGGAATCTGAGAGGGAGTCACATGACTCCTTGCCTGGGACCAGTGGGGGGAGGAAGGGTCCTCTGCTGCCTACGCCTTCCTTGCGCAGAAGGCTTCCGCGCAGGGAAAGTAGGAGGCGACTGGGCGTGAAAGAACTTCTATGCTGGAAGAAGTTTAAGAAACGACCACTGACGGATTCTGCCAGCGACTGAGACAGCCACGGGTGAGTGGCTGTCCGGACAGAAAAGGTTCACTTAGGCAACCCAGCCAGGTGTGGGCACCGGCTTACGCACGAGCAACCCCTTGAACCATCACAATGATATTTCAGGTATCCTAGTCCTAAACTGCACGGGGCTTTATACACCAAAACCAGCACCTTGAACTTAGCCTGGTAGCTAATTGACAGCCAATGTAATTCTTTCAACAGCAGGATAACATGTTGGCGACATCCTACCCCAGTGAGCCTCTTGAGGCCTCTTCCACCCCTACAGCTCTGCAAATCAATAAGAGCCATTTAAATGTGTTGCGAAGGCCCAGCCATCTGAGCCATAACTTCATTAAAAAGCTGGGAAAGCCCATCTGCTGGAATGAATGAGTTAAACCTGCTCCACTTTTGAAATGACTGAATGGAACTTTGTTTTCAGTGCAGCATTTTTGCTGAGAGGGGAATGCCATTGAAGTAGCAGAGAGAGAAAGAAGCAGCAAACCCCTTGGGAGGGCATTAATCTTTCCAATGCAATGGGCTGGGAATCATGTACAACAGACAAACTATTGAGGCATGAAGAATACATTCACAGTGGAGTTCTGCAGGCCTTCTCTGCACACTGCTGAAAGAGGCGAGCCCCTTCTCTGGGTCGGGTCTAGACAAAACATCCGTGCAGTTGGAGCCCCTCTACAATCTTGCAGCTGCTGCCAACTGCCTGTCCATTAACATGCCTCCTGGATTCTATGCCCACCTTGTAAAATTAAAGCATGTGCAGTAATGTTGCTCAGTTTGCAGTCTACACAGCTAGCAGTGTTTTATTTTCATCCACTCAAGGTTAAAACTATTCATCTCATTTTTGCATTTGTTTTCATGTCAAAAAGCACCTCCCCTTTTCAGCAGATTTTGGCATTTGTTTTGAACATACGAGCCTTGTCTCAGTGCTTCCCATCACCATTTCCATTTCTCTTTTTCATTGCCTTCACAGCTCCCTCTCAGTCTCCTTTGCCCACACTTGCCTTTGATCTTATTGGCTGTGGTGCCCCACATTTTTGTTGATGATGTGATGATACTACATCTAATAAGATGACATCATAGCGATGTCTGAAAGTGCTTCAACCCATTCCGACATTCATTCCTGTGTTTTTTCAACTGGTGTTTTCTGTTCTACTGCAATTGGTTTCTCAGAGTAGATCCTTGGGAATTAATGGGAAACCACACATTTTAAAATGTATATCATAGCACACAATGGGCACACATATTTTACCCATCAACAGATATTTACAAATGAATTACCTTCACTGTGTGTTCCATTCCAAAATTAACGAATTTCCAGAGGAGGACCCCTGTTAGCTCATCACAATGTCATCTATGGCTACAAAACTAACCATCCCTATTCAGAACTCCCATTCAATTTCATGGGACTTACTCACAGGTGTATAGGATTAGGATTATAACCTACCACACTAAGGTTTCTTTTCTTTTCTTTTCAATGTGTTTTATTATTTACTATCTTTTAGTTTCTAAGTCTGAGCACATGTTAATGTGTATGTTGGGGATGGGGATGGGGAGAGAAGCAGGCACAAAATATATAACATAAATAAATCTGAGTTGTACCTAGAGAAGAAACCTGCCAAAGGGTGTAACACTGCATCTGAGCAACACTGGAGTCCCTCTTGTTTAATTAAGGGCAAAACACCATCATATTTAAATGGTATACGGCCTCTTTGAGAATAATCCGGTTTCCTTTCAGCTGTTTGGAAATATAGGGTCCCTCATGCATGGAACAGAACGCTAAGGGCCAGATATGGGGGATTCTGAATTGCATTTCCTGCTGCTTTAAAAATATATATTTCTATTTTAAGTAAATATGTAGGAGTGCTAGTTTGAAGCCACAAATATCCTGCAGTGGAATCTCACTCTGTCATTATACAGAAAGTTTATTCCTGAAACTGTTCCTTTGCCAGCAAGGCAAGACGCCTGCTCCCCTCTGTTTGCTTGTGCAAAATGCCGTAGCACTTTTTGTGCAGGGGGGCTTCAGAAACCTTTTCTTTTTGATTTTCATAATAACCCGTGGAGGTGAACTGTTTTTCTTCTCATTGCCTATTTATGTAAAGAGATAAGAACTTCCAAGACAAAGGTAAAAATTGAACCAAGGTCTCCCAGATCCAGAGTGGTCACAGGACCACAGTTGCTCTAAATGGGCTTGAGATCCAGAAAGAAAACCTTTCCCAAATTCCTGCATGAATTTAAATGAAACTCATAAACAATAAACAAAACTTGCAAACTCTAATTGCAAGAAGAGCATCAAATGTAAACACATGCATTCTGCAGATTTTAGCTGCATACACAGCTAACCTGCTTGTAGAACAATAATGTAGTTTTTATCAGTCCCAATCACTCACGCTAATCCACAACATACTGCTTTCAGTCCAGATTGATTCTAGATTCTACAGTCCAGAAGGGAGGCTGTGGTTACTTGATACACATTTGGAAACCTTCCCCTTGATTAGATTTCCCATGCCTTTTCCACCCTGCACATGCCCCAGGTGAACGAAGAAGGAAGTGGTGGTAAATGCCCACCCAAAACATCATTGGACAGGTGTGGCCACACAAACACACCATTTCTGGGACTGCCTACATCTGTTTTCATCTGTTTTCAAATGGTCACCTGTGGGGTGATGCCAAATCAATCTGCAGTGAGCTTCACTTTTCAGAATGAAACCAGTTTCTGAAGAAGTGTTTTTCAAGGGCAAAAAATAAATAAATGCAACAGATCTACATAGAAAAATAAGTACTCAGTCTCCATTAATTATAGAATAAAATGTTGTATATATACAGCCCAAGGTTTTAAACGTTTTCTCTTATAGTATAACACTGCAGCCCTATAAAATGCAAGTAGTGGGAGATATATTGGCAGCAAAGTCTATTTAGTGCCACCTGAGGTTAAAAAGTGACTTGATTGCCAATAAAACATGATGAAATTGAGAAAGAACACACCAGGGTGAAAAGAGACGGCTAAATGTTTTAATTGTTTTATCGCTTGTGTGTTTCCTCCCTGGGCTCCTTTGGGAGGAGGTATAGAATATAAATAAGAAGAAGAAGAAGAAGAAGAAGAAGAAGAAGAAGAAGAAGAAGAAGAAGAAGAAGAAGAAGAAGAAGAAGAAGAAGAAGTTACTACTACAATTAAAATTTCAAACTTTTTTCTGTTCTGCATCACACAGGTGATGAAAGATAAGATTTGCTTTACAGTGTTTCTCTCCGACCAGTTCCCTCATGAAATCAGCCTTTTCTCTTTGAAACCACAGTAACTAACACACTTTGTACAGTTTACATGGCTACTCAGTGAGAGGGGTTAATCAGAGTATTTTATCAGTCTTATGCATCCTGCAGTAACTAGCCAAGGTCATTCACAATTCTGTTTCTGCAGCATCTGGGTGTCTGTGGAGTGATGTTCAGCTCTCGCCTTATCCCTCCAAAAGTCCGTTGCTCACTGAAACCAGGCCTTTCTTTAAAAACTGTAACAGTGGGTCATTAGGACTAACTGCATAAGAGGAAAATACCCATTCGCTTTCCAGTGTTGGTAGGGTGTATGTCTATAAACAACCTAGCCATTTTAAAAATTACTACTATTGATTTAAACTCTGCACATTATTCCACTGCCAGAGCCTGGATTTTTCCACAGGCTCCTTCCAAAAACATCCACATAAAACTTGTACAGGAAGTGAAACAACAGCAGAGGTTAGAAATGCGGCTTGACAGAAAACAGAAGTTGAAATGAGCAACGTATCTTCATTTCTCTCCCAAACTCTTGTCTTATTTACTGCTGTTTGTATATGTTATTGTTGTACTCAAAAATCTACAAGTTATTTATTTTAAATGTGAATAAGAAGTGCTGCTTAAGCAGAGACACATTCTTGCAAATGGTAGAGGGAGGGAGAACCAACCAGCAACCTCTGTGTAATGAATGCCTACCATCTTTCAAGGAAAGAATTTGACTGCATGAGACCATAGGCAGACTTTCTAAACAAAGGTCTGAGGGCACAGAAACATTCCTAGAGCATATCCGCAGCAGATTGCTTTTGTTTTATTATGAATACAATGGACAATACTGGTCTTCTAGTGGTTTATAATATATTTTTGTTGGTCCAATAGTTGGACTGTATATCCTTTCTTGCAATTCCCTGAATCATGATAATCTGTTTTTTACATATACTATGCTTACCTGTGCTGGACTGCACATTTGTTATGGGTGAGTTGGGAGTGTTTTTGCAGTTTGGTGTTTTGTGACTTACTACAGTGGAAAATTGTATGGATCATATAATAAATACTTTTTTTTAGCTTCTTAAAGTCAAGCAGGTCTGAATCTGGTCCATTCCTGGATATGAGACAATCTATAATAATTTAATAATAATAATAATTTATTATTTATATCCTGCCTATCTGGTTGGGCTTCCCCAGTCACTCGTTGGGCGGCTTCCAATAAAATATTAAAATACAGTAATGCATCAAACATTAAAAGCTTCCCTAAACAGGGCTGCCTTCAGATGTCTTCTAAAAGTCTGGTAGTTGTTCTCTTTGACATCTGGTGGGAGGGCGTTCCACGGGGTGGGTGCTACTACCGAGAAGTCCCTCTGCCTGCTTCCCTGTAATTTGGCTTCTCGCAGTGAGAGAACCACCAGAAGGCCCTTGGAGCTGGACCTCAGTGTCCAGGTAGAACGATGGGGGTGGAGATGCTCCTTCAGATAAGAACCTATTGCATCCTGCCTTGAATTCCATGATGGAAAAACCCAAACAGGGCATTACAAAGGTAAACATGGCCACTACACTTGCAAATTCTCTCCCTACAATTTTTCTGATCTCATGGATGCCTGCGGGAATAACAACACAAACCAACAGCAGATCTGGGCCCTTTATCCACTGAGATGGAGATAGAGCAGAGTTTCTCCTCCCTTGCTCCTCATACTGGAGGGTAATCAGAACATATGACGTACCTGAGATGGCAACTGCCTGTTTCTTCTCTCACACACTCAGTTCATCAGCACTCTGTTTTCCATCTCTGGCTTCCGTTTCCCTGCTCTTCTTTCCTGTCCTTCTTCTTTCTCCTGGGTAATGCCCCATGCTGCTTTTCTGTCTGCACATATAATGAAGTGTACTGTGGACACTGGTTATTAAACTCTGATTACACTCAGTTTTTACACGTGACTAAAAAAACAAACAAACCCTCACTGACTACGAAGGGTCTGCCAGGGTTTGCAAGGTTGACAAGGATGACATGTGGTTGTCATCTTCAGAATCCCAAAGGAATCATCAGTCATCTTAGGCAAACTGGAGGTCCACCCTACATTGGCATTATGAGTTTGTCATAACACTCAGTGGCTATTTCCATTCGGTCCACATGCCTCTGCTTGCCCCTGTTGGATTGGAGAGTGCTTTGATTTGCTCTTGCCATACTGAACGTGGGGGCAGAGGTTAGAGACTGTGAATTCATATGTTTCCCTCAGCAGCCCATTGCAAAACACCAAAACAACACGGGTGGCTTGGCCCTCAAGATGTTCTGCAAGGGTCCCCCATAGAAAAAGCCTTCTTTCCCAGGAAAAGTTACACCTGCATTCTGTCTTTCTTGTTTCGGTCAGAGTACAGGCAGCGATTATTTTGTGTGGGAGTTCAGTTCCTGGCCCCTGCAAGCATCGGTGGAGCACGTATAATTGCACCCCACCCCATTCTGCCTTCTTCTGGGTCCAAAAGGACCCGCATGTTGGCAATCACACATCAGTTAGACGCACCTAGAATGGTTGCTGCCTGTACACGCTATACCTTTAAAGCACATCCGAAGCACATTCTTCCCCTCAAAGAATTCTGGGCACTGTGGCTTACTCCTCAGAGAGTTACAATTCCCCGCAACCCTTAACAAACTATAATGCCAAGAATTCTTTGCAGGGCGGGGTAATGTGATTCGAATGTGCATCTCCAATTTGTAAACCAATTAGCCACAATTAGCAGTAGTCTTGTGACCTCTGCACCTGCAGTCAATCCATATCTCCTGGCTGCAGCACCAGCTACAAAACAGAGACAGAGCTACTGCTACAATTGTTTTAACCATTTTAACTGTTTTTACTTGTTTTACCGGTAACTGTTTTAATTGCTTTAATTTGTGTGAGGTTTGTAAATTATTTCATTCTAAGCTCTAGCCTCTTGCTTGTTTGTTCCCCTTGTTAAGTCTTCGATAAGTGCAGCTTGTCCAGTGGTGCATGGTTCCTCTGAGCTCAAGACCCCAAAATGCATGTGCCTTTTGAGTACATCAGTAGGTGCATATGTAGACAATGACCCTGTAATATAAGCGGGTAACTAGAAGTAAGAAAGGCCAGAGCTGTTAATCTTGCAGAGAAACAGCAGGCAGCTTTCTGTGTGGGTGGGTTCATTAGGCTGATCCACATCCTTCATGTTATTTATTGACAGTACAGTCCTATGTATGTTGACTTAGAACTAAGTCCCACTGTGTTCAGTGGGGTTTACTCCCAGGTAAGTATGCACAGTCAGGATTGAAGCCAAGCACACTCAAAGTTCCCTAGCATGCTCTGGAACACAGCTTGGGAATTACTACTATGAGCTTTCACAGATATACACATATTAAACACATTGGATTTAAATTGATACCTACTTCTAGCATTAATCCACTTCAATTAAAGTATGTACATAGAAAGTCCACACATGCACCACACAGCTCCCCACATTTAACCCACATTTTTTTTCATGGTCACTTACGGAGACATTATTCAAATCTCCTCTGCTTATTCAGATACTTACCGTGAGATCTGTGCACACTTGAGATGTGCTAGTCTTGTTAATGCCGTGTTGCAGAAATGCTGATTCAGGAGTCCAGGCAGCTGCTGGTGAGACCACAGCTATGGCATTTTGATCCACAGTCCCGCCATGACTGCTGCTAAAAGCATTATAGCTGGGAGGGAAGGGGCCATTTACAGGAGCAACCATGAGACCCCTTCCCCCACCCCAGCCCTTCCATTCCTATCCACTCCAAAGAAAATGGGAAACGTAAATAGGCCTATTGCTGTGCTGAAAGGGAGCTTTTTGTTTTGTTTTGTGGCATGTCTTTTAAAAAAACAAAACAGAGCCAGGGAAATTCCTGAAGGCAAAGCAGAATCTCCAGAGCAAGCAAAAAACCTGGACAATGCAGTGCTCCATGGAAATTTGTGCATTTAGAAGGGCTGTAATGGTAGTACACAGGGGCTAGCCGATGTGGTGCCTGGCAGATCTGCAGAATAACAGCAACAACAGTAACAATAATAACAATAATTTTATTATTTATACCCTGTCCATCTGGCTGGGCCGCCCAAGTCACTCTGAGGGACTCCAGTCCCGACACATATAAAAATGTAATAAAACACCAAACATTAAAAACTTATCGATACAGGGCTGCCCTCAAATGCCTTCTAAAAGTTGTGTAGTTCTTTATCTCCTTGACATCTGATGGGAGAGGATGTGGCACAGGGAGGGCGCCACTGGAGAAAAGACTCTCTGCTTGGTTCCATGTAACTTCACTTCTCATGGTGAGGGAACCGCCAGAAGGCCCTTGGAGCTGGAACTCAGTGTCTGGGCTGAACAATGGGGGGTGGGGTGGAGACACTCTTTCAGGTATACAGGGCCGAGGCTGTTTAGGGCTTTAAAGGTCAGCACCAACATTTTAAAATGTGCTTAGAAAAGTACTGGTAGCCAGTATAGATCCTTTAGGACCAGTGTTATATGGTCCCTGTGGCCACTCCCAGTCACCAGTCTACCTGCCACACTCTGGATTAGCTGGTGTTTCCAAGTCACTTTCAAAGGTAGCCCCATGTAGAGCGCATTGCAGCAATCCAAGCGGGAGATAACCAGGACATATACCACTCTGCAGAGACAGTCTGTGGGCAGGTAGAGTCTCAGCCTGCGTACCACATGGAGCTGGCAGACAGCTGCCCTGCACACAGAATTGACCTGTGCCTTCATGGACAGCTGTGAGTCCAGAATGACTCCCAGGCTGTGCAACTGGTCCTTCAGGGGCACAGTTACACCATTCAGGATCAGGGAGTCCTCCACCCCCACCCACCCCATGTCCCTCAGAAACAGTACTTCTGTGTTGTCAGGAGTCAGCCTCAATCCATTAACTGCCAACTATCCACCAACCACCTCCAGGCACTCACACAGAATATTCACCACCTTCTCTGGTTCCAATTTAAAGGAGAGGTAGAGCTGGGTATCATCCACATACTGGTGAGTACCCAGCCGAGCCCCCTGATTATCTCTTCCAGCAACTTCATATAGTTGTTAAAAAGCATGGGGGAGGGGACGGAGTCCTGAGGCACCCCACAGGTGAGAGCCCAGGGGTCTGAACACTCATCCCCCCAAACACCACTTTCTAGACATGGCCCAGGAGGAAGGAGTGGAACCACTGCATAACAGTGCCCCCAGATCCCAACTCCTCTAGATGGTCCAGAAGGATGCCATGGTCAATGGCAGGCATCCCCAAACTCGGCTCTCCAGATGTTTTTGGGACTGCAATTCCCATCATCCCTGACCACTGGTCCTGTTAGCTAGAGATGATGGGAGTTGTAGTCCCAAAACATCTGGAGGGCTGAGTTTGCCCTATGCCTGGTCAATGGTATCAGAAGTCACAGAGAGATCCAGCAGAAGCAGGAAACAGCTTTCACCTCTCTCCGTAGCCTGGCAGAGATCACTGACCAGCTCGACCAACTTGCAGGACATCTTGCAATGTAGATTCCTTAGATTTGTCTAACCTAGACTAGGTTTGCTATCTCTCAAAGATGTGCCAGTCATACATTAATCCATTTAAGTGGATCTAATTTTAAAATGCTTATTGCTTAATAACCAGTCAAAGCACAACACAACTGGGTGGCAGGGAAAATGAGGTGGACTTTAAAGCAGCCAGGTAACTGCACTTCAATCCTGACTTTTGTCCCCCTGCTTCCTAAATATCTGAAAGTGGGTGTAGGGGATTCCTTAAAGGCTAAGGAGACCAGCAGTCTTGAGGGGGGTTCCCCTGTGTATAATAGCAGTTCAAGACTGATAAAATAGTTACAAGAAGAATCTTGAGCCTAGTTTCTCTCCCGAGATATGTGGTTGCATTGTGGTTTGTGCTTTTCCATCCAACTCAGCAGTTGGTGGGAAGATGAAGCCAAGAGCAATAGAAGGGATCTTGTGAGGCCTCCCATTTGCACAAAGCCAGAGCACCTGAACTTCTTGGAAAGCCATCCGCATCCCTGCTGATCCAGAACTTCCTTCAAGGTCCCAAGAACTTCCATACTTCCTCCGTTTTGCTAGGCCAGAATATTGACCTGAGCTCAGTGAACACAATAGAAGTATTTCTGGACAGTTGACATTATTTGCTGCACTCTTCCAGGAGGAGAAAACAATACAGTCCTACCTCGGGTTGCGAACGCTGCGGGTTGTGAGTTTTCAGGTTACAGACCGCGCCAAACCCGGAAGTACCGGAACGGGTTACTTCCAGGTTTCGGCACTCGCACATGCGCATGCACAGAAACACTAAATTGCACTTTGTGCATGCGCAGAAGCGCCAAATCGCGTCACGCACGTGCGCAGATGCAGCACTGTGGGTTGCGAACATGCCTCCCGCACAGATCATGTTCGCAACCCGAGGTATGACTGTACTAACAAACAGCAACTGTGCCTTCTTGGAATCCATGCCTCCTCCTATTATTCCCTCAGCATTCAACATATTGCCATCCTGTTGATTCTCTCACCCTATCTACATTCACACCACACATTTGAAGCACTATGATACCACTTTAAAAGAATTCTGGGAGCTGTAGTTTGTTTAAGGTGCTCAGACTTGTTAGGAGATCCCTATTCCCCTCACAGAGCTACGATTCCCAGAGTGGCTTAACAATCAATCAATCATAATAATAATAATAATAATAATAATAATAATAATTTATTATTTATACCCCGCCCATCTGGCTGAGTTTCCCCAGCCACTCTGGGCGGCTCCCAATC